GCAAGAAAGATAGATATATTTTGCACGGAGAGAGAGAGAGAGAGAGAGAGAGAGAGAGAGAGAGAGAGAGAGAGAGAGAGAGAGCACATATACTTGCACATGTGCCATCCATGGCCTCATAGACACACATGTAGGCGTTTATAAACAGGTCATGTGTTCAAATCCTGATGGATATGCAATAACATAAGAGGCCAGCCATCTCTTAACTTGAGAAAAAGAAAGCAAGGAGTCAAGGACATCCATCAACCACAGACAGTACATTGAGGGCAGATTGCCAGTTGCACGTTTGTGGAATTTCGGTAAGCTCAGGACAGATAACTGGCCCTTTCTGTTATATCCTGCGGCTAGTAAACCTAGGCATACCATTATACGCTATGCACGCGCTGTACGTGTGCGTACTACGGTTACCCCTATGTTGTACGCGGGCGTACAACGCAGTTTTTCCACCAAAAAAGAAAGTTTTTCTTTTTCTTTTTTTAGGGTCGGGGGTCGGGGTGCATCACCAACTAGCAGGGTTCTTTTTTAGGGTCGGGGGTCGGTGGTGCATCACCAACTAGCAGGGTCAGGACCCCCGAACTCAACCGGGGCGTACAAAGCCCTGTTACCCCCTTTTATGCTTCCTATACCCCCCGCATCGCCCCATTGTACACCCCTTCCACCTCCCCGTGCACCCCCGTTATAACCCCCTTACACCTCACCTTATACCCCGCTTGAACCCCACATCCCACGTTATACCCTCCTGACACAATCCCTTGCACCCCCCGTGCACCCCCCACAATTATACCCCACCCCCCTCAGCTTATACACCCCCCTTCCATATATCTCGTCATGGGTCATGTACTTTCGAGTACAACGCAAGTTCAGAAACTCATGTTGTACACGATGTACGCGCGTAGAAGTTTCTTTTTTTTTTTGTGCGAGAGGTACACCTAGCAGTACACTTGCCCTTTCTGGAATCTCCTGCAGCCAGTAAATTTCCCCTTTCTGGAATCTGCTGCGGCCAGTAGGGAGTAGGGCGAGGGAGTGAGATGGTGCACTTACCGTAAATAGAAACACCCTTAGACAATGTGGGATCTGTGGATTGTTGCGGAGACATCACGTACAGGAATAGAAACGGCTGAAGGGTCTAAAGGGTTTGTGGGAAAGGACGGACGGCCTTGGGGCATGCACAGACAAGAACGAAACCATTGGTGCACACTCTAGACAGCATTAGGGCGAGCATGCACAGACAAGAACGAAACCCTTGGTGCCCACTCTAGACAGCATTAGGGCGAGCCTATTCTTTTCGAGAGTAAGATATCAATAGCACAGACAAAAGTGTGCTATGGATGGAGATTGTGCTATTGGGCAAGGGTGTTGTTCTTGCCTGGGAATCACCTCCATGAACGAGAATGTGCTATCGGGCAAGCACTTTTTGATAGCACAGACAAAAGCGTGCTGTTTGCCAATAGCACAATTTTGTCTGTGCTAGCATGAGTGTGCTACTGCCCAATAGCACACTTCTGTCGGTGCTATCACAAGTGCTATCACGAACAGAAGTGTGCTATTGGGCAAGAACAAAAAAAACTCCCAAAAGCCTGCTGTTGCCCAATAGCACACTTTTGTTCTTGCCCAATAGCACACTTTTGTCGGTGCTATCACGTGTGTGCTATTGGGCAAGGGTTTCGTTGCTGCCAGGAAACACCTCCTTGAACGAGAGTGTGCCCAACCCACCTTAATGGGAGTGAAGAGAAGAACGCTTGTGGGAGGAAGGAAAGAGGAGAGAGGAAGCAGAAGGGGATAAAGGGGAGGGAGGGAGGGAGGTGAGTGGTAAGCAGGCGAAAGAGCGATAGGAAGCAAACCAGAATGAGTGACGAGGAGAAGAGAGAGAACTGAACGACGTGCAGCGAGGCCAGGCGTAAGGCACCGGCATTCCCAAGGGTAGAAGATTGTTCATGAGTCGTGACACTTTGAAGAGTCTGCAATGGTCTGCATACAACGTATCTAAGTTTCCGGATGACCGCATAAGAGGGGGAGAGGGAAAACCGGACAAGGAAAAAAAAAAAAAAAAAAAAAATAGAGAGAGAGAGAGATGATGGAATTACATACGCACCTGCGTTCTGGCGGATTCTATCCACACCGACAATCCGTGGGCCAGATCCAGCTCCTCCTCTTCCTGGCCCTCCTCCTCCTCCTCCTCCTCCTCCTCCTCCTCCTCCCCCTCCTCCATATCCTGAGTACCCTCTCGAGCCACTCCTTCCCCTCTTCTTGTACTGCTCACTGGCGTCAGGCTGCACATAACGACACCACCACGTCCCGTCCATTGTCCGCGTTATTTCACTCACCCAGAAAAGCCTCCTATCAATAGTCTTTGGCAAGCAATTTCTACAACTTAACCATCTTTTCAACGTCCCAAAATAAGACATTTGAAATCATTTCGCATTGTTCGGCATTGACCATCTTTTCAATATCCCAAAATATTAAATAAGATATTTGAAATCATTTCGCATTGTTGTTGGGCATTGAATCTGAAAACGTTCGGTTGCCTTTCCAATGTTTCATGCTTGCCAGTGATAAGCAACCGGGCTCGTACCCTCCCCGAACATAGAACGGGTTGTCTTTTTTTTTTTCTTTTTTTTTTTTTTGGGGGGGGGGGGGGGGGAGAGGGGAGGAAGGGTCGATTTCAAATTGAATTACCATGAGAGAGAAACTGAGAACATTCACTTTCTCACTGGAACGAACATTCACAGAAGTTTCAACCAGTATTCAAGGAGCATTCGCAACAATCTTGAACAAGGAACGAAAAGAAAAGAAGTGTCAGAAGCAACTAGGCACTTAGAACAGCACAGAAAATGGGTGAATTTTTTGAATTTTCGGAAATAAATAAATAAAAATCATTGTAAAATAATTGTAAATACCACTGTGTTGAAAACTTACTCGGACACACACAAAAAAAAAAAAATTGTCTTCTGGGGTACACGTTCACTCTACATCTTCTGATGTACATGTCCCCTACGGGACCTGCCCAATTTTCAACTTAGAGGGGCACTACAATCTTCTCCCGAACATAACACAGGGCTGTATTTAGGACAGCAATTGGGCCACATACCAACAGCCATAATCCGTACGCCATAATGTTGGGGGAAGCCAGTAGTCCTCACCATGACCAGAGGGCATTACGGCACCACCCCCAGAGATCGCATGTGGGGACAAGCGCATGCAGGGATAGCGCGCACACATGCGCATGTGCATGCTGCACGCACGCACTCATATATGAAAAATGAAGCTGCTTGACGGCTACCGTCTTCACTCGAATACAACACACCCTGATCAATAATGTATACAAGCTATATTTTCTTTCCGGTTCACTACACAGTCATGATGATGAGAGTGGGTTGTGCTCGGGGGAAGAAAGTTAGCCCACTTTAGACGCTCAACGAGCAGTGTACAGCAATTCCCGTTTTCACTTTTTCCCATAGGGTACCCTCCTCTTCACCCCAATAGAACGCTGCATCTGGTCATTATATCTGGGGGTTTTTTTTTTTTTTTTTTTTTTTTGGGGGGGGGGGGGGGGGGGAGCAACTTTTAGTCCAGATGCGGCGATATTGGCATGGCCAGGCGTTCTATTCGGGTAGAGATGGAAGGGATTAATCTCAATGGACATTTTTCTTCCTCCTTTTTTCTTTCCTGCCCTTCCTGTTGCTTACCCCATCCATTTCTCAAGCTTCATGAAGGAGGGGATCCATAAGCAATCTTTGACGACCGGCATTTCATCCTTCACCACCACCATCACCGTTCTCCATAGTCATCGTTGTCTTTTCCCCTCCATAGCCATCGCTCTCCTACCTTCTCTTCCAAAACATAAACGCCCTGTCTGGGTCGGTGTCCCAATCAGACCCGGCCGGGAAGTATCTGCTCCGGAAAGACGACTCGAAAACGTCATCATGACCAAGCGTTCTGTTCGGGGTAAGGCAACCGGGGGGAGGTATCGTGTCTCAAACCACGATGCATTTTTTCATTTGACATCCCCCGAGTCCGGATTGGTACCCCAATCAGACTCGGCCGGGAAACCATTTTCAATTTCAACACGCGGCGACCAAACCTGCGCCAGGCCAGGTTTCCAGGCCTGGTCGGTACCGGCCGCTTATCCACCGGGGAATTTTTTTTTTTTTTTGCGTCCCCACGGCAAAGGGGGTGGCGATGGATGGTGGGGTATAAGTGACCCTTGCACAAGAAGGTATTTTTTTTGTTTTTGAAAAGGGCGACGGCCTTTCGATATCATCATTGAAGATGACCGGGCCCCCCAAGGTGCTTCAGAATTTGTGTTATTCGGGGGGAAAAAAGAAAAATGTTATTCTGGGCATCTGATTGTACCCGGATTCGAACTTGGGTCTGATTCATATTTCAACAGTTCGTGGGTGTACCAACTGAGCTAGGCTCCTTGGTGGCAGCGATTTTTTTTTTTTTTTTTTTTTTTTTTTTTTTTTTTTTTTAGGGTAGCGATTATTTATCATCACAGCCAATCTGCTTTTCGATAGTTTCTGCATAATACCATACGGTCTCTGTGATCTATTTATAGAATTGGAAGCAAAAAAAAAAAAGCAGTCTTCTCCCAAATACAACACACCCTGATGCTTGGTGTTCATCGAGTCGACTTGATACCTACCATCAGGCTGTGTTGTATTCGGGGGAAGATTTTGGTAGCAGGGTCCTGGGCTCTCTCGGAGGCCTTCGCCCCCTGTCATCCCTCGCTGGCGGTTAGCATATCTAGGTTTGGTGGGTTACAATCGGCTCTTTCCTCAGGTGCTGAGGGCCTCGCCGCACTGCTCACCAAATGTGCAAAATGAGAATGAATCTTCCGCTAAAACATGGAAAGTTGCACCTCCGTAATTTTTGTCTTTTATGCATTTGGTGAGTAGTGCGGCCAGGCCCTGACAAATGGATTTACCCTCCCAGATGTGCAGTGTAGCCATATATAGGGCCTCGCTGCACTACTCTGGAAATGTGCGAAACGAGAGTGAATCTTCCGCTAGAACATGGAAAGATACACGGCCATGATTTTTGTCTTTTCTGCATTTCAAGAGTAGTGCAGCGAGGCCCATAGCATCAGGTATCGAGAGAAGATGGGGTGAGGTAAGAAAATCGAGGAACGAATATAGCTTTGTTTTCTAAAAGACAAGGGGAAAAAAAAAAAAAAAAAAAAAAAATACACCCTGATTAGGCAATCAGCGGTTCGCTGTGGACATAAAGGTAGACTACATTCCTAATCAGGGTGTGTTTTATTCGGGGGAACACGGTAGCAGTGAGTGTGCCCAAATTGACTGAAGCGACCCCTTTGCACCATCAGTGCTACCGTGTTCCCCCGAATACAACACACCCTGGTTATGAATGAAGACTACCTATTTATTTATTTATTTCTGCCGCTTCAGTCATAAGTGTTGTATTCGGGGGAACACGGTAAGAGTTTTTTTTTTTTTTTTTTTTTTTTTTAGGGTTTTTCAATCACAGGCAATCTCTGTCTTCACTAACACTTTTGTCCAACTTTATCCGTAATTTTGAAATATGATATCGTGGCTGTGATCTATTTATAGAATCGAAAAACATTTAGCAATAATTAGTTACTACTCCTGTCGCCTTCGTGTGGGCCAAGTGAAGTTTTTTTTTTTTTTTTTTTTGCATTTAATTTGGACCATTTCTCGATTTATGTGTGTCATTTTCTGCGAAGGGGCCATGCTAATCTTCTTTCTTTGTATCGTCCCAATTTATTTAGCGGATATCTCGGAGGACAAGTTTGATGGGGTTTTTTTTTTTTGGGGGGGGGGGGGGGCCCTTTTCAATAAGCGAGTCCGATTTTTTTTTTTTTTTTTTTTTTTTTTTTTTTTCCCTATTTTTTTTTGGGTTTTTTTGGGGGGAAATTTTTTTTGGGTTTTTTTTTTTTGGGGGGGGGGGGGAGACCTTTTCAATAAGCGAGTCCGATATTTTCTTTTTTTTTTTTTTTCTTTTTTTTTTTTTAAACAGAAACCCGTGGTATCAGATTGGAGTGCTGATAAGAGCATACACTCCTACCTGACACACTGGGGGCTCCAGAGAGTCCGATATTTTCTAATAAGTGATCTTTCTTAATTCCCAAATGGAGAGCGCTCAGTTCGCAAGAGTAGCACCCACCTACTAAATTCAGCCTCCTGAGACATGACGTTACATGCTGAAAGCCTACACACGGGCCCCTCACGGGCCCCGAGGTTGGAATAGGGCCCCCAGGTCGCGTCACCGCAGCCTGAAGGCCCTATGGCATTTTTACTTGGGCCTGCATCAGAAAAACGCCAGCTTTAGATTATTTTCATATTCTTTTATTTATTTATTTGCTGCTGTTTTTCTAACGGTTGTACTGTTGTCCGTTTTGTGGCCAGGTACACGTTTTAAGACCAGGGCCAGATTCAGGCCCAGAGGCTGAGCTCCTAAAAACGTTTGGACCTTTTCTTTTGTTTTCGAACAGATTGCTACCTGTTCGGACCCAGGCCGACGTTGAGGCCGGGTACGTCCGCACAGGATAGCGATATGCTTAACACATGCAAGTCGAACGTTGTTTTCTCAGTTGAAAACAAAGTGGCGAACGGGTGCGTAACGCGTGGGAATCTACCAAACAGTTTGGGAAAAATCCCAAACAGTCTAGATAGTCAATTTAGCGTGATAGTCAAAGCTTTTAGCGCTGTTTGATGAGCCCGCATAGTATTAGGTAGTTGGTTAGGTAAAGGCTGACCAAGCCGATGATGCTTAGCTGGTCTTTTCGAATGATCAGCCACACTGGGACTGAGACACGGCCCAGACTCCTACGGGAGGCAGCAGTGGGGAATCTTGGACAATGGGGACCGGTTCGAAGCCAGGTACCAGGAAACTGAATCCTGGACAGGGCCTGGACGTCCGGTAGGGACCCAGGCAGGCCGTTTTAGGCCAAGGACTGAACCAGTTTCAAAGCCTGCGATCTGGACCGTGGATCGGAGTTTCGATCTGCACGGCCCAGAATGCAGGCCGTGGCTTTTCAGTCCTGGCCCAGCGCTACTTAAGCTGGGCCGTTGCCCAGTTCGTGGACAGAAGGTAGCAGGAGAAATCCAGCGTTATGCTGGTTCAGGAACTTCGCTGCTGCGCTATTTTGGAGACTCTCTGCTGCGCTATTTCGAGACTGCAGCTGCGCTGCTCATCGGCCATGAGGCACAGCGCTGGAGGAGTCCAGCGCAGAGGAGGGTAGTGGAGTTAGAGAGAGAGAGAGAGAGAGAGAGAGAGAGAAGACTTACCTGCACCAGCGCCATAGCTGGCTCCACGGTACCTGCAAGTTCAGCCATCGCCAGGTAAGTGCAGAAAGCGCCTAGCTTTCTTCTTCTTCTTCTTCTTCTTCTTCTTCTTCTTCTTCTTCTTCTTCTCCTCTCCTCTTCTACTCCTCCGAAGTTCTTCTTCTTCTTCTTCTTCTTCTTCTTCTTCTTCTTCTTTGTCAGGGTAGAGATAGAGGTAACTGCAGACATTGTTTTGGACACGGCCTTCTGCCTTATTGGACACGACATTCAGATCGGACTTACACTCTACATTGGGATTGAGCTGTGTGCGACATTCGGAGATCAGACTTGGGTTGGACTTGGTTACCTCTATGTCCCTCCCCCTTCTCTCTCGCATGTCTATGGATCTCTCCCCATGTGTGTGAGCGGAAGGGCAATCTTTCTRGTGTCTTGCCCTTCBGAAGTTTCTCCCTTTCATGTTGTTGTCCACGTGTCCTCTTGATACTAAATCTTCCGCTGCGCTGCTTCCCAGCCTATGATRATGATGATACGAATGTGTTGTTATTGATTTCCCGTTGTTCCACTCTTTGCATCGCGCACATTGACACCTTGTGAATGTGGCACCTATGCTGCTGGTTGTTGCCACTTTCGTCATTGCTAGATCCTAGGCTTTCAGTGCATTTCACTTTCTGATATGCTACAAGTGGTATCGGAGCTAGTGCGATGAATCGTAGCAGCAACCAATCAATCGATTGGATTGGCGGTTTGCCACCAATCAATCTTCGATTGATTGATCAGTCAATCAGGAGATTGACCGAACAATCGATCAATCAACCAGCAATCATATTGATTGATTGATTGATTGATTGATTGATTGATTAATTAGTTGATTGATTATTTGGCAATTTTTCTTGGAAATTTCCCGGAATTAATTAATTATTTATTTATTTTTTTTTCCCGAGAAATTATTTCTTTTTCCGAGAATTTTTTTTTTTTCCGAGAAATTGTTTCTTTTTCCGAGAAAATTTTTCGAGAAATTATTATTCTTTTCCGAAATTTTATTTTTCCGAGAAATTTGGTTTCCGAGAAATTCTTTTTTTCGTTCTGAGAATTCTTTTTCCGAGAATTTTTTTTTACCTTGTTTAATTGTTAAATGTCTGCATTTTCACAATTTCGATTCTTTTTCCGAAAATGTCCCTCTACACCTTCACTGCGTAGGTTTGCAAATTCCGTTCTTTTTTTTTCAAAAAAAAAAAAAAAAAAACGGCATTTTTTTCCCTTTCTGCAACCTACTCCTACTCTGAGTTGTAAAGATACTTCTTTTCTGATTCTCTGCAGTTGAGCACCGAAGGTTCACATTTGCTTGCTGCATCACCTTCGGTACTCAATGGGATTGGACAGTCTTTTTCGAATTTTGATTTATTTCTTAATCAATTTTTTTTTCTTTTTTTTCTTTTTTGATTAGGGAACTGTTCAATTTGGGATCTGTCCGATCCTTCCCACCTGTCTGCTGCCTACCTGTTCTTTCCCCTCCAGTCCGAATACTGGGCCAGTCTATCTGATTGGCCCATAGGTGACTCTTCAGAGCAGTGCATGCCACGACTCACTCGATCACAGACCAAGACCATGGACCGGAAGGAGGGAGAATCCCTCCTGGCCTATGAGGAACGCCTGGCTGCTTTCATCCAGGAGGCCAATGACAGGGCTGCCGCCGCGGCCAAGGAACGTGGTCGGATTGAGCAAGAAGAGGAGGCCAAGCGACAGAAGGAAGAACAGGACCGACTTCGTCAAGAGGAGGCAGACCTGCAGGCGACAGCCGAACACCGGTCATGCCAGCGGGAACGACTGTTCACGCAGGAGACCGTGATCGGCGATGAGACCGCACATTGGGTGCAAGTGGCATCTGCAGACGAGGCCCCGGAGACTGAGAAAGGGCTGTCAGCCCTTGCGCAGGTCTCCCACGACCCCGTGGCCACCTGCGTTCTGCAGCAGGAGGAAATCCTTCACCTGCAGCAGACAGTGGACCAGATGCTCGCACGGCTGCAGGCGTTGGAAAAACAGCCAGCTGTTGTAGCAGCCGCAGGGCCTTCAAACCTTGCCACCCGTGTTCAAGTTTTGGAGGACGACGTTAGCAATATCAAGCGTGTGCATCAGGACTTCAGGACGTCGCAGCAAGCAACGAACTTGCAGTTGGAGACGCAGGTCCAGGCTGCTGCCACCGTGACGCCCGCCGCCGCATCCTCCAGGCGCCCACCCAAGCTAGATGACATTCCAGTTTTCTGCGATCAGTCCAAGACGGGACCGATCCTGTGGTGGCGCCAGTTTACTCTCAGGCTTGACATGCACCATGTCCCGAACAACGATCGACATCCGTGCTTCTACCACCGATTTGGTGGTGTGTGTCAAGCATGGCTGGACAACATCCTGACCAGCCACGGCGTTGCAGTGTCGGAACTGCACACCAAGCTCACTTGGCAGGAGTTGACTGACGCCTGGCACAAGCGATTCCAAGTGGAGCCGCCCGACCTGCAAGCGATGGACAAGCTCAACAAGCTCCATCAGAACACGCTGCTCAGTCAGGACTGGATTACCGAGTTCCAAGGACTCGCCTCCACACCTGACCTGCCACTCGCATTCCGCGCCATCAAGCACTTGTTTATCATGCGCTTGTGTCCAGCTCTGAAAAACGCGCTGACGCAGATTGCAGAGACACTCGACACATCTGACAAGCTTTTCAGCAAAGCGTCACGGATCATTCTCACGAATATCGAAGCCCGCAACGTCGGGCGATCTTCCGCGACGACGAGCGGCACCCAGCCCAAGCCAAAGGTGGCTTGCATTACTTCTACCGAGGCTGCAACACCAAACGAGGGTGAAGTGTTGGCAGCTGCCCGGGATGGTGGCCGGCCGCGCAACAACCACGGCCGCGACAAGACGAAGACTCAGTCCACCTCTACACCGAGCACCGGATCAGCCGCCGACGAACCTTGGGCGCAATACGGACTCTCGGCCAATTCCTATCGCACGCGACTCAAGTACCGTTATTGCCTTTGGTGCAACAGCACCATCCACGATGCTGCACATTGCCCCACCAAGGGGAAACCCCGTCCGGGAACGTAGGCGCCGCCGAGGGTGACTCGACACCTCCCTCGGCGCCATCGGAAGCGGTTGTGGCCACGACCGCCTTTTCTTCCGAGGCATATGCGGATGTCGGGAGTCTTCCACTTTCATTCGAAGACTTCGCTGCCCGGCTCGTTCCTTCACTGGATGTTTCTCAAGGACAAGATACATGTGTGGCTTTCTCACCGTCCGAAGGTTCTTCCGCCAGTTCGTCTTCATCAAGGGATTCGGCAAGYVYGTTCAACGAGGAGGCTTTGGACCCGCTCACGCCCGAGGACTTCGCTTGGATTCCTCTCCCTACGACGGGCAACCTTCCGGGGCCGCAAAGCGCAGCCCTATGYGCCCTCTTACACGAGTATCTTTCCTTCCATGCACCACCAACTTCGCCGACGGTAGACGAAGTCGCGGTGGGGGACATGCTTGGCTATGTTGCCAAGGTGGCCCGCGAGTTTGTCTCGCAACRRTACGMARAAAACAACGCACCGTTGCTCTACGTTCGCATTCAGATTGGGCAAGCGGCCTGCAACGCTTTGCTAGATTGCGGCGCAACTCGCAACTTCATCAGCCAGTAGTCCTTCATGACCCGGGTTGGCCTTGGCGCACAAGTACGGAGGAAGTCACATCCGATCACGGTCGCTCTTGCCGATGGTGAGACGAAACAGCTTTTAGACCGTTACATCTCGGCTGTACCGGTGTACTTTGCACCGCACGCATGTGAACCCRTCACTTTTGACGTGTTGGACACCGACTTCGATGTCATTTTGGGGATGCCTTGTTTTTCTAGTGCGGACCACACGGTCAATTTCCATCGACGCACGCTCACGATTCGTGATGCAACTGGCGCCGAGGTCCCGTGTACTATTCCTCCTCCTCGCTCTTCCATTCGGTGCCAAGTCGTGAGTGCCAAATCTTTTCAAGACACATGCCGTTCCAAGCATGTCGAAGAGATTGGGATCGCTTTTCTTCGAACCGTCCCGACAACCGATTCATCGTCCACAGATGTGTCTTCCGACCCCCGTGTGACCCGGTTGTTAGACGAGTTCTCGGATGTTTTTGAGACACCCTCCGGTATAGTGCCGGACCGGCCAATCTCTCATGAGATCATACTTGAGGCCGGTGTCGTGCCACCGAAGGGATGCATTTATCGCATGTCCGAGGAGGAGCTCACGGTTCTCCGTGCGCAACTCGACGATCTACTTGACAAGGGTTGGATCCTCCCTAGCAGCTCACCTTGCGGTGCGCCCGTTCTCTTCGTTCGGAAGAAGAACAAGGACCTTCAACTCTGCATTGACTACCGACGCCTCAACGCGCAAACCATCAAGAACGCGGGGCCTCTACCTCGCATTGACGATTTGCTTGAGCGGTTGGGCGGCGCCAAGTACTTTTCGAAGTTGGACCTCAAGTTGGGCTACCATCAGATTTCCATCCGCCCGCAAGATCGGTACAAAACCGCGTTTAAGACGCGATATGGGCATTTTGAGTGGGTAGTTATGCCTTTTGGCCTCACCAATGCCCCGRCCACCTTTCAGGCGGCCATGACCACCGAGTTTCGCGCTATGTTGGACCGCTTCGTCTTGGTCTACTTAGACGGCATCCTCGTCTATAGCCGACCTCTAGAGGAGCATCTCGAGCACCTTCGTCGTGTTCTAGGGACTCTTCGGTCAGCCCGGTACAAAGCTAACCACGACAAATGCGAGTTTGTCCGGCAAGAGCTTGAATACTTGGGTCATTTTGTCTCTCCGGAAGGCATTCGTCCGTTGGCGGACAAGATTCAAGCCATCCAGGAGTGGCCCGAGCCAAAGAATGTGACGGGCGCCCGATCCTTCCTCGGCTTGGCCGGTTATTATCAGTGTTTCATCAAGAATTACTCGAAGATCGCGGCCAACCTAAGCAAGTTACAAAGCGAGGAGCGGCCTTTTGACTTCGACGACGATGCGCGCCATTCTTTTGAAACACTCAAAGCGGCACTCTTATCCGCCGAGCTGTTACATATTTACGACCCGCTTCTAGCTACGAGCGTCACTACCGATGCGTCGGGCTATGGCATTGGGGCCGTCCTTGAGCAGCACGATGGCGCGGACTGGCGCACCCGGTCGAGTACTTTAGCAAGAAAGTACCTCCCGTGCATTCGATCGACGACGCACGGAAGAAGGAGCTTCTTGCCTTCGTCCACGCCCTCAAGCGTTGGCGACATTTCCTCCTTGGTCGGAAAGCATTCCGATGGGTAACGGATAACAATCCGTTGGTATTCTACAAATCGCAAGACACGATTAACAGTACCATTGCCCGATGGATGGCTTTCATCGACCAGTTTGACTTTTTCCCCGATCACATTCCCGGAAAGTCAAACCGTTTTGCGGACACCCTCTCACGGCGACCGGATCTTTGCACCGCAGTCTACTCTACCTTCGAGATCGACGACGACTTGCGGGAGAGCTTCATCCGCGGCTATCAAGCCGACCCCC